AAAATAAACAAATGGGACCTAATGAAACTTCAAAGCTTTTGCACAGCAAAGGAAACCATAAACAAGACCAAAAGACAACCCTCAGAATGGGAGAAAATATTTGCAAATGAAGCAACTGACAAAGGCTTAATCTCCAATATTTACAAGTAGCTCATGCAGCTCAACATCAAAAAAACAAACAACCCAATCCAAAACTGGGCAGAAGACCTAAATAGACATTTCTCCAAAGAAGATATACAGATTGCCAACAGACACATGAAAGAATGCTCAATATCATTAATCATTAGAGAAATGCAAATCAAAACTACAATGAGATATCATCTCACACCGGTCAGAATGGCCATCATCAAAAAATGTACAGACAATAAATGCTGGAAAGGGTGTGGAGAAAAGGGAACCCTCTTGCACTGTTGGTGGGAATGTAAACTGATTCAGCCACTATGGAGAACGGTATGGAGGTTCCTTAAAAAACTAAAAATAGAACTACCATACAACCCAGCAATCCCACACCTGGGCATATACCCTGAGAAAACCATAATTCAAAAAGAGTCATGTACCAGAATGTTCATTGCAGCTCTATTTACAATAGCCAGGACATGGAAGCAACTGAAGTGTCCATCAACAGATGAACGGATAAAGAAGACGTGGCACATATATACAATGGAATATTACTCAGCCATAAAAAGGAACGAAACTGAGTTATTTGTAGTGAGGTGGATGGACCTAGAGACTGTCATACAGAGTGAAGCCAGTCAGAAAGAGAAAAACGAATACCGTATGCTAACACCTATGTATGGAATCTAGAAAAAAAAAAATGTGAAGAACCTAGGGGTAAGACAGGAATAAAGACGCAGACCTACTAGAGAATGGACTTGAGGATACGGGGAGGGGGGAGGGTAAGCGGGGACGAAGTGGGAGAGTGGCATGGACATATATACACTACCAAACGTCAAACAGATAGCTAGTGGGAAGCAGCCGCATAGCACAGGGAGATCACCTCGGTGCTTTGTGAGCACCTAGAGGGGTGGGATAGGGAGGGTGGGAGGGAGGGAGATGCAAGAGGGAAGAGATATGGGGCCATATGTATATGTATAACTGATAACAAAGCAGAAACTAACACACCATTGTAAAGCAATTAATTATACTCCAATAGTTTAAAGAAAAAGACAAAAAAAAAAATCAGTGCTGTTGATTTTAATTTACCCTTCTTCCAGGTTTCATGACTATTAATTTTCCCTTTGATTTATAACAGGGTAGCTCAAAGAATAAGTTAATGATGGTAATTACCGGTGCAGGATGCGTAGTAAGCAGTGGCTGTGATTTGCAGTTAGAGGAAAATAACTGTGCTCACGGGTTCAGGGTCCCCAGATGATGTTCAGTCACTGGCACTTCCTCCTTCTGAAGCTTCACACACCACTTTAACATTTTTGATGGAAAACATTCATTCTCTCCATAAAATTTCCCCAGTTGGTTATAAATAGCTGATGGAGAAATATTAACATCTGAAAGTTCCAGCTCACACCTCACCTTAAATTTACCTTTGCTTTTCGTAACGGTTTAGATTTAATGGCTTGAAATATCTCTCATGTACATGCACTGAAAGGCAATGCTATATAATTTCTACATTTCATATCTGTAGTCATATCTGTAAATGATTTACAACAGATGCACATAGACACATGTGAAAAAAATCCTTTATTAATTTCTCACATTTCATTACAAAATGTATGTTGCAAACAACTTTGAATAACCTACTTGTGTGTTTTTTGTTGTTTTTTAAACCCCTTGGCTTCAAGAACTCAGGATCTCCCTATCTTTTATCAAGTACTGGGAAATACTGATTTTATTGGAGTCAATAGGTTATCATTTTGCTATTTATTTTCTTCTTTCAAGCTCTGAAAAAAAAATGTCCTCTGTATAAAAAAATGTTGTAAATGTTGTAAATTCTATGTCGTTACAGTCAACAGAATTATAATAATGCATCCAAAATGTGCGGCCACAAAATATCAGGTATATGTTTGAAAAAAGAAAAAAAAAATGACATTCTAGCCTTGTTAAAAGGATAATGGTCCCATATTTTTATTAACAGGTTAGCAAAACAAAATCCAATGGATTACAATATTTACATGTTATTTGAAAAATAAAGTAGTGATAAAAGCATGTCACATATTTTCTTTTTTTTTTCTTTTTTTTTCTTTTTTTTTTTTGTTTGTTTTTTGGTAACCATTACAAACACCCAATCCAGGTATGGAACTGTTTAGTACATTTGAAATGAGGCCAATTAAAAACAAATATGGACACAAAATGAATCTTTGTCTAGATAGTTCACACTTTCCCTTTTTCTGGTTTCCACATGATGGCCCCCATCCCTAAAAAAAAAAAAATTAAATTAAAACAAACACCCTACAAATAAAAATTCTTAACAGCAAGAAAGTAAAAGAACAACATGCTTTTCAAGTAAGCACTTATTCCACAAATGCAATATCTTTCCATGGATTTTATTTGAAGCTGTGTGGGACACTGTCATCTCAGCAATTCCCCTTCCCTTTCTCCCCCCTCCCCCAACCCTTCCAAGTTTAAAAAAAAAAAAAAAAAAAAACGAAACATGAAAACCGAAGGCCTCACACACATACACACACATGCTCACGCACACATCCAAGCTCACACGCACTCAGGCTTCTAAAACCTAAGATTCAAGGAAAGTTCTACTTTTTGGAACGAAACCCTTTGTTCACAATCAGAACGTATTATAAATGTAGACTTAGATTTAGTCTAAGCTGCTCCCTCCTGTAAAAGCTAATATGGGGAAACAGAGCAGCTGGCAGCTAGATTAAAGAAAAAAAAAAAAAGTAGTTCTCCAGGCTCCTTGTAGGATATGAGTATTTCGTGAACACTCTCACCAAAGGGATGGGATTCGAGCACATCCCCTTGTCCCGCAAAATAAATGAGAATCCCCCCCCCCCCCACAAAACACAATGCAAACAAAAACAGAACACATTTAAAATCACACACAAAAGCCAGCCCATCCTAACAGAAACTATTTGTGTGAGACAGATAATGTGTAAAATTTGACAGCAACAAAAGGGTGAAGAGGACTTCCTCGTCTGGCCCACAAGCTGCATAGCTGTGCCGAAAAGTTTGGTTCTTTAGTTAAATTAAAAAAAAAAGTTAACTTCTTTGTTATTTCCATGTTTAAAATAAAAACGTTCCTATTCACAAAAAAACTAAATCTCCCTTGCCCCCAAATCAAAACAATAACACACACAAAAAAAACAATTTATATGAAAAACTGAATTGTGCTGTGTTTGTAACACTCAAACTGATAGAAGATAAACGTGTGGCAAACAAAACTCCACAGTCACCTTAAAATTAGCTCACATGAAATCTACCAAATTCTAAATTATAGTTGAACACTAATAAACAGCTTACCTGGAATAAAGGATAATTCACAAACATTTATCTAATAATTAAAGTCTGTTTCTTTTTTTTGTTTTGTTTTTTACTAAAATAATTAAAAAAATCACAGTATTTTAAGAAATAAAACCCACGTGGGGATTTTAAGCACAATTTGTGTTCCTTTTTTTAAAACTCTTTTTTTTTCTCCATTCACCATCTTGCCCAGCAGTTCTCTCTACATTTAACCACAATGACGACAGGTAGTACTGACAAATGCAGAGAATTCCCTTGGTTAAGTTTGAGGTACTAGGAAACAGGTGACTGTTTTATGCAAAGCAGTTTTTTTGTTTTGTTTTTGTTTTTTGTTTTTTTGTTTGTTTTTTCCCAAAGCGGCTGCAGTTAGGTCTTGAAAAAGCTTAACGTATTAAAACTAGAAAAACGCACCAAAAGTTGTGCGTCAAAAAGTTGTTCCCCTAAGAGAAGTCTTCTACTGTCACGGAGCTTCTGTTTCCACATACTGTCCAAGACCACCATAGCGCACACATGTGCAAGGGAGGTGCTTCATATTCCGCAACAACTGAAACTTCCACGATGAAGATCCGGAAGGAAAGATGTAGTGATGGAAAAGGAGCCACATATTCCAACCATTTAAATAACTTTAATTTACATACTCACTCACACAGGTACCAGTGCTTTGAAAATAGATTGTTCAGTCCTAAAAAGCAGCTTTGTTCTGTCTTCTCTTTTCTGTCCCCCCCTTCTCAGCCCAAGCTGGCCCTCCCACTTTTTTTCATCACGGTTCAAGTAAGAGGTGATTAAGAATTTCACCAAACGCTTATTCTTTTTTGGCCTCTGCATTCTCCAGGAGAGATTTGTCAGCAGCTACTACACAGATGGCTACTGGTTCATTCTTTAGGGAAAAGTCTATCCCGATTGCTTCATCATCTTCCTTTTCCTCTACAGAGGGCACCTTAATACTGTCCTCCATGCTATCTTTCAGGTGGATTTCTTCTTGTCTCACCAGCTTGGTGTCGTTCAACGCCCTGGAAAAACATTCATGGTAGTGAAGGGTGAGTATATATATATATATATATATATATATTTTTTTTTTTTTTTCTATTTACACAAAAAACATTCATGTCCTTTTTTCTCTG